CTCTCGCATACCACGTTTTTGCACTGGAGTGAGGTTGAAGCTGAGATTGCCGAGGTTAATAGAAAGTCGGTCGTGGCAGTTACGATAATTTCTCTTTGTAGAAAAGTGGAGCAGTTGAGAACTCTGTAGACTTATAGAAGTGACTTTGGTCTATCGCCTTGAGGGGGTATATAATTTTTAAATGCCTTTTCAATGTTTCATTCGTATGGCGCGAAAGCTCTCAAAAAAACTGAGAACGAAATTCAAATTTTTCAAATTTCCAACTCGAGGGCAGCAGCTGTATAGAGAAACGATGCACTGGAAAGATTATCATGTCCTGTCAAAAGAAATCCCAATCTCGTGTATGAAATACGAGCCTTGAAAGAAAACGTGAAAACTGCAGATCCTGTGAAAGAGCTTTCTAGAGAGTTCTAGAAGACGAATTTCAATTATGTAAAATGGGAGGATTTGGACCATGTGGGCCGAAATCTTTATATCCTAATGGTCTTTATTCCATGCACTGAAAAACACTATAATGTTAGCTTGAAGTTGGAAGCCACTACTATTTTTGCAACGCACCCTCAAAAATTAATGCTCATCGTCGCAAATGCGCTAGGTAATATTGGGTCGTAACATATGAAATGTCCGATTTTATTGTTCTAATTTTTCGTGTAATTTTTTCTAAAAAAATCGTGTTCTTTAAGTACGTTCAACATATATTTTTGAAGCATAAAGTTTTTCTATATTTGGTATTGGTTCTTCTCAAAATTTATTATTTTAACATTCTTGTAGGCTTTAGCTTTAATATGAATCAACGTGATATTCGTGTCCTTTTTTGTATGAGTGGGAGAGTGGACATAATGCCTCGGAAGGGGCTCGGAATAACAATGCCGTGTTAGGAAATGGCTTTGTTAACGAACGCATTAGTCGTCGTTGGTACGTAAATTTTGAATCCGAGGACGAGAGCCTTGCAAACGACGAGCGTGGTAGGCCGGAAATTAAGGTTAACAATGAGACACTTCGTGCTCCATTCGAATCAAATCCGCATCAAACGGTCCGACGACTCGCGACAGTGTTTGGAGTTAGTGCTATGACCATCTCACGTCACTTACAGTTTATTGGTAAAGTTTAAAAAAGTGGACAAATGGGTTCCACAAGAACTCATCGAAAAGCAAAAAACTAGACGTCGAAAAAATTACAATTCGCTACTGATTCGCAATGACAGAGATCCATTTTTGAATCGCATTGTAACCGGTGATGAAAAGTGGATACCATAAGATAATCGTCGCCGCGTTCTGCACAAGGGCTAGACGCCGATGAGAAGCCACGACACACGCCTCAACCGAGTCCGCATCCAAAGAAGACAGTGGTTTCCATGTGGTGGTCAATGGCCAGTATAATTCATTACAAATTCTTACGACCTGGAAAAACGATTACGTCAGAGAAATATTGTGCTGAAATCGAGGAAATGCATCAAACACTACGGGTTAAGCAGCCGGCATTGATCAATAGGGAAAGAGCAATATTGCTGCACGACAACGCAGGAGCGCACGTTTGCCAAACGACATTAAGAAAGTTGGATAAAATGCACTATGAAACTTTACCACATCCACCTTACCCGCTAGATTTGTAACCAAAGGATTTTCATTTTCTAAGCAACTTTCTAACAGAAAAATTCTTCAACGACCAAACCACCGTTGGAAATGCCTTTAAAGAATTCGTGGACACTAGAACCGATAATTTTTGTATTAATATAATCACAAAACTTGTTTCTTGTTGAAAAAATGTTATTTAGATTAGGAAGAGTTAACATGAAAAAGTTATGGTTATTTAAAGTCTACATTTAAAATCAGACATTTCGCATGTTACAACCGAACAGATTCGCGGTTGTATGAATCATATATGATTCATGCTCTGCTAAAAAAATGGCCGCTTTCAGGTTTTTCACTTCTAGATTAATAAGCTACTATGGCGTTGTTATAAAAGTTTTACTCGGCATCAATGATCTGCTTCCAAGAACGAACAGCTGTGGATAATTGGACCGAATCAATCGGGTTTTGAAGAAGGATAAGAGCTAGAAACGCCAGCAGAATAATGTTTCCCATGACCTCGTATTACCTTGCTAACTTGAAAAAATATTGATTCTTCATGTCGAGGTTAAATGACAGTCTGTTTTCCCCCTTTGTTTTTACTTCGTTTTACATGATTTGACGTTCCATGTTCTGAGGATCCTAGCAGTTCTTGTAGCCTTCATGGTACGCACGCCACTATGATCCACAGAAGTTTTTAGACTTGTATGGAAATTTTGCTGTTGCTTGAGCATTCGGTTTTCTCCAGGAATGGCTACGAGCTAGAAACTTTCGTTAGCCACGCTAAGGCGATCCCATCCTTTCACTACATGTTCTATAAGTCTGCTACCAGTATCCTGACCCCGAAGGGATAGTTGGCCTAGTTGAGGGACGCACCATGGTATTGCGCTTTCTATTGGGAGACATCTCTGTCACGAAGCTACCAGCGCAGCGTTTTCAACTTGGAATTAACACATTCTAGCAGTTAATAAAAACCAGTAGTTCCTAAGATCTTTGCTATCCAGGAACCAGTTTTCTTCTCATTATATGGCTTTTTTTTGAGCTAAGAAGCTATTATTTGGATTTTCCTTCCCACTCAAGCTCGTATCCCGAGTACGCAACTGAACAAACGAGATCTTGACCACCTGCACACGATGGTGTTCGGCAATGTTTCGTTGGTGCTTGCAACTGTCACGGTTACACATGGAATTTTGATAATCTAAATCTCGATTTCAAATTTTCGAAGAATTAAATTTAATCAGAGGCGAATTTGAAGTTGAAAGGATATTTAATATAAGTTCTATGCACCCAAATACAAATTTGTATGATATAACACCCACCGCTTCATCCGTGGGATTACTACTCCAAGCTTCAAAGGACTCGAACGAGTAGGAAAAACTTCCAAGAATTTCGTGCCACCTATACGTTCGGATAGATTCGGTACTGGAGTGTTCGTCGTAGATTCCTAGCAAGGTACACGTCCTACCTCAGCGTTGGCCCACCGAAACTCCCATCACTACGTGGAGTCGGAAAATTGTTACCTGATTCATCTGAGATCAGCTCACTGTCTTCAACACAAGTAGGAACGCACTAGCACGGCTATCCCAGCACTCTGTGGAGAATCAGTCCCACCAGCGTTCAACAGCGATCATAAAGAAGATAGCAAACCTCAAACAGCAGCCGAACGCAAAATGCGCAAAAATTTAACCTTCAGTACTGTACATTGGAGGAAACGAATCGAATGGCTAAAATCTGCACAATATGTTGTGTAAAAGCTTAAAAAATAAAGGATAAAGCTCTCGGCGTCGATCAATTCCTGAGGGATGCGCCATGCATTCGGCTTCATTAAGTGTCGTTGGAGGTGATTGAGTGCATATCTAGCCCCTACAAATGACTCGCGGTGGCCTACCGATGTATCGAGCCAGTGCTACAACCCTCCTAGACAAGTCCGGTACCAATTTGCCTACCATGGAGCGATGGAAGGCTTGGTGGGACATGGGCACGCGGATCGATTCCACAGGTGTCGCTTTCAACCACTGCGCCACACGCACTCCTTGTAAAAGCTTCCCTTTACCTTAATGTAAAATTCACAAGTCTGTGAAGCTCTCAAATTCTCAGTTACCCTAGAGGAATAGAAAGTATTAGCAGTTAAAAAAAATATTACGCAATGAATATGAAAATACCTTTTGTATATTCGTATTCGGAATAACGGAATAGATAATCCTTAGCATATTGAAGATTAGTATTACTCAGATGTCTACGCACTAAATCACTTTAGTTGTCCAACTTTTAAATACATGCAACTAGCTCGTCTTACTGTACATAACATTCAAGCATTTGCTTCAAACTTTCCTTCCAAACATAATTCCTTGTTATTTGAAATAAGTAGGACCAATTGCTTATATCCAATCCAACAAACCACTAATTGGCTGAACACATACAATCAGAACTGTTCCTAGGATGCTTTCAGGTCGCCAATATGGCAGCTCTCATCGTGAATGTCGCTACCATTTCACTCTACTTCGTGTATCCGCCGTTAACATGGCGTGTCCCCATCATTGGCACCGGTCCACAACGTGGAAAGAAGGAAGAATAGGGAGCTTCAAAATTTACATGCACTTTTCTTTTCATCTAGCTCATTTCATTGTCGTAGATCATTTTTGATAAATCTACTGAGTCGTAACGTTAACTGTTTCTTAGTAGAGAGACTGATCGAATTGAAGTGCAAGTTCCTCTCAATAGAAAACCATACCAGCACTGATCCATCGAAGGCAATCAAGAATAAATTCCCTCTCTTAAAAAATGCGTCTAAGAAGCACTGTTCCACATAATATTGATAAATGAAATGGTACTCCAACGCAACTACCTAATGACGACCTATTCAAACAGGAAAACAAAATGTATAAGATACAGAATTAACATTAAGGTTGTTTTATACTCTATACGGAGTCGTTTTCTTTCGTACCGCTACTTAACGACATATGAAACCTCTTAGGAGCATTTCCCTAACGCCCAGGTCTATCGACGTAGTGGGCACGCAACTTACAACCTGAGAAGACCAAAACTACGAACTCCTAGATTCTTCAACACGTAGCTACTTCTTAAATTTCCATCCATTTATGTTCACAAAGACTAAAAAAATCGAAAATTCGACCACAGAAGATACGCCATAGAAGTTTGAACAAAAAGATAAACAGACTTCAAGAAGGAAATGAGTTTATTCATGTTCAAATGGATATACGACATATAAATGAATGATTTGCCGTTCAATCCAACAATCTCGCACAGTAAACGTAATGAACAACACTGCTTCTTCCCTAAGTAAGCTTCATTGCTATACCTAGACAACCTGATTCAACAACACAAATGTAGTAAACTGCAGAAATTACACCAATGTAGACATTCTGATCTGAACAACTGATTTTTTCAATCCGTAGTAGATAAAAATGCAAACTATTTCTTAGTCAACTTTCTTTTCTTAGAGTTCTTCTTTCCGGAAGACTTCTCTGCACTATCTGCATTATTTTCGAAGGCCTTACACAATTCCTCCGGTAGCCTGCATGTACTTTCAATGTAAGTGAAAAGCTCGTCGGGATACAACCGTTTCACCTACAACACATAGAATAAGATGAAGTATAGAAAACTACGACAACACTATAGTCTCACCAAATCTTCACTTCCTACCAAAAAGCTCAACGGATTGGCAAAACTAATTCGACCTGCAGCTCACATTCATTGGTTTTACACCTTCCTTTTTTCGATGTTGGCATTTGCTTAGTACAAAATCCCTGTCGTAGAAACCGTAATACTCGTCCATAACTTCACAAAAAAAGGATTCCTTTTTATTTTTGTGCGATCCGTCCTCATATCTGCTGTACGGATCCCATCACTTCCTGCATTTGATTGGATTCCTCGCATCCATCGCCCATAAAGGCCTTCACATTTTTCGTGTGTGGATTAGACTGTCGCTAGAGGATTGTCGTATTCATTATAAATGCCGTTGAATGCTAGTTGAATCGAGTATCAATTGAGTCCTGGGATAGCTCGGTTAAAGCGTTCCGACTTGGATTACAAAAAGTGAACTCTTCTGTCTGCGAAAAGTCTAGTACCAAATTCTTCACCCTAGACAGACAAAATGCATGGTAACCTGGGACAAGATCGAACCAGGACCGCGCTCGTGCTGAACAGTATCACTATTACTGCGCTACTCACCCTCTAAAGAAAATTCCAGTGGGAATAAATGAACATCTATTAATCATAAAACGTTAATGAAGTTAAAAGACCTATCCATAAAATATTATAATACTATGTCCTTCTATAATGCTGAGATATTTACAAAACTCCGGACCGCAGGTGTCTGCGGTGGGGAACGAACGCGCTATTGTCCTTTCCGGGGAGTAACGCGTTCACCACCACACCATGCGGGTCCTTCGTTTCGCCTGTCTCCCAGCTAGTTTTATCGATCTTTTGCCATCAGCAATCACCCGTCAACAGGATTGATCTAGGGAGCCCAAATCGGCATTGAACCCAGTTAAACTGAGGCTATAGTTATAATCCCAAGCTTAACCTTTTTTATTTACTGCCTATTCTTTTAACGGTAGGGTATTTTGCGAAATATAACTATTTGCACATATTTCAGCATTAGAGTAGTTATATTTAGGAAAAATACCCCGCCGTTAAAAAGAATAGGCAGTAAAGAAAAAAGGTTAAGGTTGTGACTATGACTATAGCCTCAGTTTAACTGGGTTCAATGCCGATTTGGGCTCCTTAGATCAATCCCGTTGACGGGTGATTCATGATGGCAAAAAATCGATAGAGCTAGCTGAGAGACAGGCGAAACGAAGGACCCGCATGGTGTGGTGGTGAACGCCTTACTCTCCGGAAAGGCAATAGCGCGTTCGTTCTCCACTCCAGACACCTGCGGTCCGAAACGGGATTTTGCAAAACTCTCAGCATTATAGTAGTTATATTTCGCAAAATACTCTGCCTTTAAAAAGAATAGGCAGTAAATAAAAAAGGTTAAGACTATATCCTTCTTCAGGATTCAATCATAGAACAAACTTGTGTTCTAAAAGGTTACATAAAATCCTTAGCTTACCAAAGCTTGGCTTCCCGTTGATCAACGGGCAATATAGTCGGTATTAGTGTTTTACATCTCGTGCTCCATTTGTGTTGTCGAAATATCACTTCCCTGTTACAAAAACGGGTGCTGATCTAATAAGACTAAACCATCATGCATAATTGCTCTTTCACTGTACCACCTTTGATCTTTGCGTGGATACAGAAGTCAGCAAAGCGTCCATTCACCTCGTATTCCAAACATCTCACTTGTATGACAACAATCATGATGGCCTTGAATTTCACATGTACCTTGCTTCCGGTCGTTCAGATGTCCACATTCGATATTTGTGGCTAATACTGTTAAACAAAGAACTGTAGCGCTGTCGTTGCTGCCTGCAATACAAATAGGATCGAATCACGTGCCCAAGGTTCACCAAGTCTTCCATCCCTCCGGGATCGGCAAATTGGTACCAGACCTGTTTAGGAGGATAGCAACACTGGGTTGATGCATCGGTAGGCCACTGTGAGTCATTGTAAAGGCCAGATATGCATTCAGTGACCTCTAAAGATGCTTAGTGAAGTCTAATGCATGGCGCATCCCACAGGGTTTGATCAACGCTGACAGCTTCACCCTTTACCTTTTAATACCGTTAGAGTACTAACCGACATAATAGCAAGCCTTCGTAATTGCGAGGTAAAAAATACTGATAATTGTTTATACCAAGATTAAATGAAAGTCAGCTTGCAATAGTATTACTTCGCTATATGCAAGCTTTCTAATAGCGAGTGATGCTGGATGGGCTATGCGGAGAGAAAAAAAATTATTATCAACCAACAATCAGTCTATCAACAATGCTTCTCTATAAAAATGTTTCATCGATAACAGCGTATTCGCGCGGTGCTCCACTGGATTTCACACGTTGCGATCATAAAGACCCAGATCAGATGGATGAGTGACTGTGGACAATCGACTCAAATCAATTCTTCTCTGACGAAAAGGCCATTGAAATGTCAGGCGAACAAAGTTTGACAATTACCTCGTGCTAGCTATTCAGTGGAAAAAACATACTAAAAACATTGTGATGTTCTTTTCGCAGCACTCTTGAGATTGTCGTTCACGATCTCAATCAATCATCGTTTTACTTGAGTCATTAGTTGTCCGAATGATGCCCACAACCACAATCTTGTGATGGTATGGCCACAACCCACACGTTTTTTGCAAACAGCGTTTTCCTTAACGTTCCTTGTTCTATAGTATTGCGAACGCTCGACAGGTAGTTTATTTTATTTCACGTTCAAAAAATGAGGCAATGCTCGATGTTCTCAATTTGAATCACTAGGCTGGTCAGTGGAAAGTTCCTATACTGACTCGCAGTATTTTAATCGCAGGTAGTAACCGCAGTTCGTTCACACTATTGCAGATTGGAATGGATCCTTGGCTTAGCAACCTCCTCGTTGTGAATGTTGCTGTAGCGACTCTCAAAGCCAATGTGATTTTTTGTTGAACATGGCCACGATTGACATTCACCCGATTAACACTCACTTTCAGGCTTCTAGTATCAATGCTATACTTTCCTCACGTCTGTATGAAAATGACGTGTACAAAAGGTGTAAACACATTCAACGCAGTGGCTTACCACCCTCTACACAATATAACCATGGAGTGAAAGTTTGCTGTTTCAAAACATATCTATAAAAAAATAAGTGTACGCAAATAAATCTAACTATTAACTTCGCCTCCGGATGCCTTTTCGTGGAACCGACATCGGTTTGCAATCTCTGAAGAAGACTTCCACAAGCCCTAGAGGGATGTCAGGGGCAGAATGCCGTGGTCCAAGATGCGTTGTCTACAGCATTCCATCTTATTTTAGGTTAGAAAATAACAAACCTGTTCATATGGCATAAGCTCTAGAATAACTTCATCATTAGGGACATCCTGCCTGTTTCGCCTGTAACAATATTCTCATCTATTAATCTTTTTTCAGTTATTAATTATACAATGGAATTTTGTCGGGTACTAAACTTACCGCTGTACAACCAAATCCATTTTTGTAATAGACTCTTTCTGCAAATTTTCTGGAGAATGGATGGGGCCAAGAACTTCGACACTCATATAGTAGTCATCAAGAGAACGTGCACTCATATCTTGCTCGTCTACCCATGTTGGCCTGAAAATGCAGTGTTCTTCATTTCACAACCACACAACCTTAAGCTGAGTTGTATGCAGAAAGGAAGGAAAAACCCACTCCCAATCCACCAAATACTCCATCTTGTCTTTTCCGTTTTTTCCATCCACTTTTCGTCTTTTCAGAATACGTTTAATTGCATATCTATCGTTATTCATCTCCTTAGTGAAACTGGATAACAGTACGCATAACCTTGAAGATTAATAAGAAACGAATTAATGCAAAATTGAAGCAGTTTCCGGGTAATTCCCGTCAAGAGAAAAGACAGCACAGCTAGGAACTTCACTGCAAACAAAGGCACATAAGGGCAGAACGAGAAAAACAAGAGCTTACGAGAACATATTTGCTTAAAAGAGTAGGACTATGACATTTTACATGAACATTACGTACTCAAAAGGTTAAAAGAAACGCATAGGAACAATTATGATAGCCAAGACATAAATGTTAGCACATAGTAAGAAAGACCATCAGCCCTGATAAGGCAAGTAGTAGACTTGTCCTTTTTCACGAACTTCTCTGATGCGGTGAAGATGCCGCAAGCACGGAGCAACATGACGGAAAATAGCTTGAGTTCGTCCTCTTAGACCTGGTTTTATATCGTTTTCTTGACAAAACAACAGGCCAATATTGCAGGAAGCCTCCTTAAAACATAAGAAACAAAGTGGTAGTTGTTCCTAGATCAAGTCATGACATGCCATTTCAACATTTACAACAACACTTTCCATTTCCAAAACTCTCACTTAAAAGTGATGTCAGCTGAAAGTACTTAGGTACATGGACGGCCCGTCTTCACTGGTTGAGCGGGCTCCAGCACAATTTCCATTCCTGGAAGGTTTGCTGCTTTAGTCATTACAGTTCCTTGGAATCCCGAGGTCAGCCAGGTCAAAGTGTGTCGCAGGTCGTCACTATCACAGGCAGTCGCCGCCCTTGTGGATCAGAGGAAGATTTGCCATCATGCGACTAGTTTGATACCAGGACGGTGGTGGATCCTGGTATTGCTTTACTCTTAGGTGGGCTTCCTGATAAAAATGCTGGACTTCTTTCCAGCTTGCGAGACCCTGGTGGGGAGATGAATCCCCCGCTGTACATCGCATTCTCACACCCAGTAACATCTGCCAGCCACGATGAGGCCGTAAACCATTGGGAGGCTGAAAGTAATGTAACTATATGTAGAAATATACCAAGTCCATCTTTCCTCAGCGTTCACCTACAACTAACACTTAAAGAAAACATTAAAGGATAGTGTATACCTGTTCTTTCCACTTGCAAACCAAGTTCTTCTCTTCTTTGCGAAGCTTGTTAAATGGAGCAGCTAATAATCTGCGCTTCATTGAAAGAAACCAGTTGAATTTGTTCAGAACCTGAAACACTGGAAGCACGAGTGCTATCATAAATGTGACAGTCTAGAAAAAACACAGATTGGAGAGCACTTCTAGCCATAACTACATACCTCATTCAAATCAGCACAGCTCATGCGACCACGCATATACTTTGGAATCGAATCGAACTCAACCAAACTGATTGGAGCCATGATTGCACCGTCAGGCGAATTCGTTACTTCCTATGTGAAAGTAACTGCATTAATAACATTTAAAACTAGACGTAACATTTAAGTAGATCACCTTAGTAGAAGGCAATGGTTGGTCGATGCCTGCTACAATAGAGTTCGCATGAGGATGTACAGTAGCTTTCTTCGAAGGTACTTTCGCAACCATATCTTGGTCGACGCCACGACCATAATCTACAGAAATATTCTGACTCTAAAAACGACCTTTAAGGATAAAACACCTGGCTCTCTTAATCAGTAAGCATGCGCAAAACAGATCCCTACCTCATAATTGTCATTGGGATAATCAACCCAATAAACTAGGACTAAGACAGGCAAGAACGGTCAACGGTTCACCGTCTCGTCATGGCCGAGAGGTGTTCTTGGGTGTCGGACTGCGATGTAAAGCGAGGGAATTATCCCCCGGTAAGGTCTCCCAAGCTGAGAAAGAGTTTGCTGTTTCCGTCAGGAAGCCCAGCTAAGAGTAAACCATTACCAGGATCCACCATCGTCCTAGTATCAAGCTAGTCGCATGCTGGCAAATCTCCTTCTGATCCACAAGGGCGGCCACTGACTATGGTGGTGATGACCTAGAGCAGACTTTGGCTAGGCCGACCTCGCCACTCCGGAGAATTACAACGGCTAAACAAGGTAAACTCCGAAAAAATGGAGATCATGCTGGGGCCCGCACAACCAGTAAGGACGGACTATCCAAATATCCAAGTATTAAGGAAGCAAGAAGAAGGATGACAGGGAACTACTCACTCGTACTACATCACCGATACGCTGACAAAGTTGTTCTTCCGTAGATAGCTGGCTCAGCCTAGAAGTCAGCGCTGTGCAGTCTCGTAAAATCCGCCTAAGCTCCTCTAACTGTTGCTCAAACTGTCGCGTTCCTAAAAAGACATAAGTGACAAGCACATTCCACATAGACCAAACCACTGCAGTTTCGTACCATTTTCAATTTTTTTCGCAGATAAAATCGACTCGACTTCCTTCACAATGTCGTTTTTCCGACTTTCTATACGACCAAGGTGTTCCTCTCCAAAGTAGACGAAGACGTGGTCCGACATAAACCCTAAAAAAAGCTAAAAACTCAAATTCTGAATATTAAACTCCCAACTTTAGGAAGAAAAAGCAAGAACAAAGGAGGAAACGATTCGACAGCATGTTGGTTGGACGCTGGGGCTACAGAGATTTGAATGCACGAACTTAGCGCGCCTAACGAGAACGTGCATTCGAGCACATTTGCTGGCTGTGTGCTCTGTTGTTGGTATGAACGTGGTAACGTCACGATAGCACTAAGGACGTTGAGCGCTACTTTTTTTGCTCGTTTAAATTTTTTTAGAAGAAATTGCGCACATGCATGGATGTTTGCAACTAAGAAAAATAGAAAAAGCGGCTTTGTACTATCCTAGAGAAATATGTGAGCTTTCTGACCACGGAGGGATGGAAAGCCTGGTGAGCCTGGGAGGCGGGATCCAACCCATGTGTACCATGTGTATTGCAAAAGGAGAGGCTGTAACCACTGCGCTACACCTCCTTATCGAAGCTTTATAGGTTGAAGAATGCGGTGCAATAAGTTTTCAGGTCTTAACAGTCTTCGTTGCATGTGCTTCAACAGCAAGCTATCATTGTCCTGAATCTCTGCTTCAGAAGTGAACGTCACCGCCTTTGTGCCCACTGTTAATTTCGCAACGAAGAGAAACTGGAAAACTTCATAAAGTGATGTTCCAAAATCATCATGAACTTTTTCGCTTTCTTGCTTGTTTTTAGAATGATAGCGCTATTGCCGACACAGCTAAGCGATACAGTTTAACTTAGTACCCGCTCGTCATCAGTGCTAAGGAAACTGACAGTGCGCAAATCACGAAGACGCGCCGCTGTCTTGACATTCTAAACCTAACGCATACTGAAGATGAGCGACCAAGGAGGGCATTAAGTATAAAGGAATAACAGCTATTTGCTAAATCTACAGAATTGTCTTCAGTAGCCTCTCGAATAAGGTGACCGAGAGGAACGGGACTTCACTGAAACGCTGGAAGATAAAGTCATTTACGACTTCAATCGCAATGTTTTCGATAACTAGACTCACATGCATCCATTATAGCTCAGGAAAAATTGATATATTTTTCCCCTTTTAAAAATTTTGACGATTTATGACCCATGGCAATCCAATGCTACCCTAAAGGCACTGCTAAGAGTGCCATCCGATTCGTGCGATAATAGCCCTCCCTATTGGATAAGAATCGGTGACCTAAGAAGATGCACATTGCGTGAAACAACTGCTATAGGCACTCGACACGAATCATTGCAGCTCCGGAGAAAATGATACTTGGTCGGCCCGTCCTACTGGTAGTACGAATCCAAGCATATTCTCCATTTATCGGAGTTTCGTTGGTTTAGCGATTGTGGTTCCATGAAGTCCCGAGGTCGGCCTGGCTAAAGTCTGCCCCAGGTCTTCACCACCACCTGCAGTCGCAGCCCTTGTAGATTAGAGGTGAATTTACTACCATGCGACTAGTTTGATATTAGGGCAGTGGTGGTTCCTGGTATTGGTTTACACTTGGCTACGCTTCCTGATGGAAACGCCGGACTCCTTCCCAGCTTGGGAGACTGCCGAGGGATGAACACCATCGCTGCACATCGCTGCGCGATACCCAGGAACACCTCCTAGCCACAATGAAGCGGAAAACCGATGGAAGGAAAAAGGTGATAGTGTTTAAAATAATGGAGATTTATAGTACTCTTTATAATTCGGTAAATAAACCAGTTTATTGATCGTTCATACTAGGGTTAAATGGAAGGCACTGTCTGGACCGATACCAATGCTGTTTGATGAGTATACATGGAGTCGTTCACTAACATCTTCAATTATGATAAAGCAATCACAGCAGAAACGTACTGTCTCGAAACCGATGAAAAGCATTTGAACTGTGGCGTATTTCGCCAAGTTTGGTCAGCAGAAATGGTACAAACCTTACACACAACGATGATCGACAACACTTTCACAATTAAAAGGTGAACGAGCTCTGGTCGAAACTCGTCTTAAGCAGTCATATTCATTTGACCCCTCGCCAACCGAACAGCACTCGTTCAAGCACATCGACAAATACTTCCAAGGAAAAACCAACAACCTGTGCGCTGTTAACATTGCTTCCGGAGAACTTTTCGTTTCCAAATCATGACTATCTGTGACCGGAAGAAATAAGGGTTTACTTTGCCAGCAGAGACTAGATTTTTACTCACCTTAACAAAGTTCAGCTATGTTCAGCTACAAGGATTTTAAATTCACATGCAGAAAACCGCAATTGTTTTTACATCAAGACGACGTGTGGTAGAAACCAGGCATTTTTCTACAGAACTGTTTGGATACTATCAAGAATCTCCGTAATGTGTGTTTCCAGGAATCCGAAAACAGTCGGTGTATCCGAAAATGAGAAGGATGTTACCTCTTCGGCGTTTTTGTACGAAGTGCAAGCGGTAAGGTTTCTCATGGGCATAGCTGTTTCTACAATCGAAACCAAATTGGGGAACCCTAGGACCTAGAAGGGCATCACCATCGTGGAAATTCCCATATCACCTAGGTACTTGATACTTGAATGGCCCGTTCTCACTGGTTGTGCGGGCCACAGCATAATCTCCACTTTTCGAAGATTTGCTGGTTAAGCCATCGTGGTTCGCTGGAATCCCGAGGTCAGCCTGAGGAAAGTCTGCCTCAGGTCTTCACCACCACAGCCAGTCGCAGCCCTTGTGGATCACAGGGAGATTTGCCACCATGCAACATTGATACCAGGACAATGGCAGATCCTAGTATTCGTTAATCTTATCTACGTTTCCTGATTGAAACGCTGGGCTCCTTCTCAGCTTCAGAGACCTTGCCAGGAGGATGAATCCACCGCTCCCCTGTACATCGCAGCCCGACACCCAGGAATACCTCCCGGCCACGATGGGCGATAAACCTTTAGGTGAAACACCTCGGTTCCGGCGAATTATTAAAGCTGGAGAAGTGAGTGCTACTTGCTTGATCAATTACTCGCTTGGTGCTAACATAAACATAAAAATATAACAACAGTACTTGTAGTGTAAATTTAGTCCATGCTAAGCAAAGGCTTCTTTAACAGTAAAGACAATCGGTGACAGGTCAAGACAAGACAAAGAACTTCGTGTCTGCTCTCAGGCCATGTTTCTGTGAAACTGTCTACTCCTGAGGAGGCTGCTTCCCGCAGACCATGTGTGGTCATAAATCCTTTATTCACTGTCCTTATAATTCTACGACCCACTCCTATGAAACAGTAATTCCTTCAATGCGCTCTCAAAGGGCAGTGGGTTAGAGATGACGTACAATACACACATGGTTGTTGCTCCGTTCTTGGTTTAGACCAACTTTGCGCACCATCTCTTCGAGGTAGGTAAGTTGGTTGGTAAAAGACTTATTTGGGAGGATAAAAGCACTGACGTTATAGATTGGTAGGCAAGGCAACTGCGAGTCTGTATAGTGCAGGTACGAATTTAATCACCTCTGCGATGCTCGAAGAAACAGAAATCAAGACGGGTCTCTAAGCAACTGAGTGACGCTAAACGCTTTAACCTACAAAGTTGTTATCCCCCTCTCCTGATTCAAACCCTTGGGACATATTCTTTCCAATATCTCATCTCAGCTGCTAAATTTCGATGCCGTAGAATTTCTCGTACATGCTGTGTAAAATATCTTATATGATAGCGCTATTCCTGAAAAGTTAACGCGAACTGAAGGCTTAGAGTGCACTAGAAATCTACTATCTTAGTCTTTGGAGCGGTTTTTCTCTCAAAAATAATTCGGTGGTTGAACATTTATTAAATTCAATGGTTTCAAGTTTGTAACAATCGAATTGTACAAGCAACCAAATAGTTGAACGCTTTCTAAAATATCTTCGCCTATTTCACAAATATCATCGAGAACAATCCTATGAACCGTTCCAGACTTAGTTGAGAGCAAAAGTAGCGGTTTCCTAACAAACGGTCGAAGTTCTGACCACATCTATGGAATGCCCTGGAGTAATGCAGTCGCATCCTGAAATAGGAGTAGAGATGCACCTAAAGGGTGAATTGAATAAATAATTTAATTCAAGCTAAAGATGGAAGCGTGAGTAGTGCAGATGAAAATACTGAACCACTGAAAAACCAATACTGAACCATGAACCACTTCGGTGGTTCACTTCAAGCTCTGCTGTAAGTGCGTTTTCGATCTGGGCTGATACACGTGCACGAGAGAAAGGTCCTCCGGAAGCGGAGAAGACGAGGCTTTGTGGCCCCAAATGCGCCCGCGCGTCATCCGCTGCAGGGCCAAGTGCCCCAGGGATCGGCGACGGAGCGATTTCGGCCTCGCCGCCACCTCGGCTCAGGCGGCGGCCGTGTGCAGACGACGGACGGAGCGTGTCTGGCGTCTCGCGCCGTTGACGTGTTATCGGCGCCCTGTGGCGCGCGGAATTCCTTTGGCGTCTGCGCCTCCCGCATTCCGATCATCGATCGATCGCCGTAACGTCCCTGATCGTCCTGTTCGCATTCCAGCACCATTCGCCGATATTTTAATATCGTCGTCCGCAGACAAACGCACAGACGGACATCGAAAGCCTCGGAGTGCCTGTGATCTTCCCCTGCTTTCTTTTCATCTCACCGCATTCCCTTCCTTCCCTGAGTACCATATGTGGCATTTCAGCTTTCCTCTTGACATTGCCTGAGAAATCCACCCCCGCGCTTATCATAGCTTTTCGACTGACTAACTCAAAACCCAACCTAAACCACACAACCGGTATGGTTAGATGAAGTCGTTACAGTACCAATACTGGATAGCTCTTTGTCTCACGAGAGCCCTTTTTTGCCATTCTTTGGCAACAGTTGAATACTTATAAGCAAAATGTGTTGAGAACAAAATAGTGGAGTTAAAGTTTGAGTAAATATGATCTTATTACCGTCAACTGAAATGTCTAGGGTGAGGAATTCTTTCGATTTTCACAGCTGTCTGAAGTGATGAGGTGCATAGGCGTCATATCGGCACCAGAGTGTTCGTAGTGCCGAATAATAGAGGGTACTTGTGTGTAATTGTCGGTGTGTGAACTTGTTCTTTCTTCGATTCGGGCGTTGTTTGTCATGATACCGTTTCGGTATCTAAGGAAGATCATCGCTCTGTGTGTGTATTGGTTTAATTTCTCCGTTTACTTCCATTTTCATCGTCGTTGTTTGATAGATAGAACCGTGCGAATGCGCGCCATCTCTCCTATCCGCTCATCACCGTTTCTCCTCTTTGTCTTCCTTCTACCTAAACACAACATATGATGGTTGGATTGCATTGATGAGATCTACCAGCTACTGGACTTCCCTTTCCAGTATTCTACTACTAGTTAAAAAACATCCGGAGCTACCGCTTTGGCCGATTGGCGGGTTCTGTCGGCAACTAGTGGAATGCAAAGAATGACCATGTGTCGCGGAATTCTACGACCATGAGGTGTTTGGTATTCCGAGCGCGCACTCGACCAAACCCCATTGTTTATTTTTTCATTTGCATTCCTCCATTTCAATGCCTCATCCTTTCTCGTTTCCAATTTTTCGTATTCGACATGCTTTCTCTTAAAATTTGCTTTGTTTGTATTTGTTTCCTCTTGCGAGCACAGATACCACCAGTGGAAAATCGTAAAAAATATTCATCACCAATCTTGATGAGCGTCTCCGTTCACTAGGCTGATCTCTGTCCTTTTCCTTGAATTACACAGAAGGCTCGTGACAGCACTAGTGTCAATTTTAAGCGCCTATTTCTATCTACAGTGCTAACGAAAGCATTCAAGGCTCTTGCGCCTAGATCTCTTGCAGACTACATCAGTAGCTTTTCTATAACACTGTCTAGAGACCTCTCATTGATTGTATGAAGGTCAGACATGTTAACTACAAACTTCTGCGCTGATTAATCACTTTAAAACAGGTAGTAGTGAATAAAAAATTCTTGACACAAATGTCTACGTGTTTTTTGTGGAGGCTGTATGAGAGCGAAGATAGTTAGAACCTAGTGACCAGCCGCTTCTAATCTTATGACTAGCTTTTGTCCATTGCCCTCTGGCAGGCAAACAGCTTC